TTTGACACAGGGTAATGCAATATTTTGATCTCTGACAAAGCTGTAATAAATTAATGGATGTGAAGAAAATACCTTAAAAACCATATTAGCTTAAACTTAAATGCCATAATTTGAAATCAGCAATGGACTCACAGAATTATGCCCAGAAGTCTTAAAGATTTAAAATATCAAGCGCTGATTTGTATACATGTACATTGTAACATTAGTTTGACAAATCAAAATGGGACATTTGAGAAGTCTAAATAAATGAATGATGCTATTTCAGTATAAATTACTATAATAAACCCATTGAAAGTGCATCTTTAAGTTATTGCAAGGAAAACATCTGTCACCAGAAAGATGGAGCTTTTCCAAAATTCCATTCATCGTAGTTGGCTGAACTTCATTTCCAGCTTGGCAGACAGATTCTGTTATTGACAACTACCAAAAAGCCACTAGCTTTCCTACTAGTTCGTGAACTATACCAATAGCTTTATGTGACTTGCAGCAATAAGATGGAAGGTTTTCCTCATTCACGTTACTGAACACTGAATGATGTGATCTTGTCAAGAAGAAATTTCTGATTGGAAAAACTGGAAGAGTATTGTTTTAAATTCAATTTGTTTAATAATTTACAAATTTTAAGGCTTTTGGAAAAAATTTTTTTTATTTTTCACGGTGAGGAAATTTACACTTAATGTTTTTTTTATATTCTTAAAAAGAAGTATATGAATATTCGGTACATTTTTATGCTTTAATTTGTTTGTTGTTTTAAAAATACTATGGAGAGCTATTTTCATTATGCTATTCACTCTTGATACATTGTAGTCTTTGTACAGACATTAAATATTTCAGGAGTCAACAGCTGGTTTTAAACTACTCTAGAAATGCAGCATCATTAATAAAGTAGACTTAAGAATGAGAAAAGAAAAAAAAAGGATTATTTTTCATAGAAATAAATTACATAGCTTGTCTTCACAAAAATAATTTTCCTAAATGTTTTTTTTACCAACTTTTTGCCATGTTCGCTTTGAAAGAGCTTGACTATTGTACACTAACATTATACACTAACTATTGTACACTAACATTACATTTCAGACTGGTTATGACCTAGTGGTAAGCATGTCGGGCTGTTAAAGGATCAGGGGGGGGTTCAAAATGTGATTCCACTAAATATGCTCCTCACTGTTGGTGAATTGTAAAAGTCAGTCCCATTACACGGTTCAAAGAGCTAAAGAAGGTTCCTGTAGCAGTGAATGATCTAGATGACTGAGTTGGGCGATTAACTTGATTAATCAATGTAATTAATTACATTTGAGCATCAGTTAACTGAAATTACAGATAAATTAAGTAATGTCACAAAAATAATCAACTAGTGTTTCTGAATTTTGTTTAATTCAAGTTTGTTCAGCATAATTGGTTAGTGTCACAACTCACAATCAACATTAGGATTTTCAATTAGTACTATTTTTGATTATTCCAACTGTCCAAGTAATTGAAATATTGCTGTTATCTTTGTTTGTTGTTAAGCGGAAAGTTACACAGTGGACTATCTGTGCTTTGCTCAGTACGGGTATATATATTTTTTCAGTCAACTCCTTTGAGAATAATTGAATTTTTCATTTTTGGCCATTTCATGAGAATAATTACATAGTTAAAAGTAATCAAATTAATAAACTCAACAATTACTTTATTAGCAAATTCCACTAATCACCCAGTTAGTTGGCTCTAGTGTGCATTACATTCCTCAACTCTGAAACTTATTTTACATACATACATACATACCTTATTGTACTAATACAATTATGATTAATAATGTTTTAAAAAGTTCCTCTAATACAGTTCATTTACATTTTTAACCAGTTTGTTAATGCTAAAATGTGGGTGCTTGTCGCATCTTCAACTTGCTGAACAAGTTGTAAACAGTTCATCATATATAAAGTAATTTTTAAGTGTATTTTGTATATGGGAGGATCAGGGATACAAAATTATTAGGTTTTCTTCAGTTTCAATACAATTTAAAGACACTAAAATGATAGGGTTCATTAAGTAGTAATTGAAATAGTGCTTTCTTCAAAATAAATGTGTTTGTTTATACTATTAAAGCAGCAAAAAATTCCACAGTGTTTTATTTTTGGTAAAACACACAATGTCCACATTCAACTCAGTTTTTATTATTAATATAGTTTTTCATCAGATACAAATATATATAATCAAGTTATTCCAACGAGAAAACAGTTTGTCAGTATAACAGGTGACAAACCATCCAAAAAAAAAAAGGTTAATGAATTCTTAGGAATGTATCCATGTACGACTTTACCTCTGTCTCAACTACAGAAAACACCCAAAGAAGAACAGAATCCACAAAATGTGCAGCAGCAGCTATTGCTTAAACAGCAAGAACTGGTGAGATTACAGAAAGAAAAATTGAAATTGGAGTTCATGCAAGCTAAGTCCAAACTTGAACAGCAGAAAAGAATACATCCTCCTGCAACATCTCTGGTAACTTTGATATATTTATATTATAATCTACATATATTTTAAAATCACATTTATGATTCTGAGAGTAACATTTTTAAGGTAATTATAAAACAACTTGCATATAAGTGTAACTACATTCTTAAAATGTTTTCATTCATGTATTTTATAATGCATTCAAGATTAATTCTGGTTATTGAATATTAAGTCAACATAGTATCATACTGTGTTTAGCATTCAGTTTAAGGTTTGTATATGTACTTTTAAAGTTAAGAGAAACAGTTTATACAGATACAAGTTTAATTATCCCAAATTTCATTCTTAGTGTTATTGATGTATTTGTAAGTAAAATATCCAGTTCTTGCATGACTGACAGATGATTCAGATTAGTTATTGAAATAAAACAATGACTTATTGCAAGAAATCTTTCAGTTAAAATATTGTACATTTCCACATCAATTTATACATGAAACAAAACTCTGGAATTCTGTATCCTCTGTAGTATTAAAGTTAGGTAATCTGATGCAAGCATGATTGGAAAGTAGATCTTCTCTGGTTGGGCAGATACAAGTACATTGAGCTAACTTTAACTCACACAGAATGAAGATAATTTTCTTAACTACTAAACTCACTCTCTCACTGGATTTATAACAATATTAAGACCAGTTCTAAACTTATGCCTCTACTACAATGGGGATTTATGATCTTCTGTTTAAATAACTGTAATCAGTTTACAGACTCACTTTTGTAGCCTAACACTTAACAGAAATTTCTCGACATTTCTTTGTGTCTTTTTTATGTGCTTTTCATAAATTACAAGGAATAACGTCAGTTTGACAATTGTTGTCATTACCAGTAGCTATAACTAGATACTGATTACTAACTAACTGTTATCTTGTGTTTTGGCTTCTAATTTGCTGCCATCTTCAGGGAAACCCTGAAAAAGACTATTTTTGTGTTGTTAGTGGCAGTGATTCAATTCTTAATATTTTTGATGAAAATCTGGTGCACTGCCTATTTGACTGAGACCTCCTGGATTAGAACCTGAATCAACAAAGTATTTGAATGTTTTCAAGAGTGTGTTATCAGTTTAGTGGATATAGAAGTCTTCTGCTATCTTTTATTTTTTGTGTGGTTCATATCCTGATATTTTAGTATTATTCCAATTTTTTGTATGGTCTTCTCTGGCATGATAAACTGTTGCGGGTAGATCAGTGTTACAGTTCTTCACATTTTAAAAATGCATGAGGGCTTTAAACTGTATATGGGGGATGTTAATGGGTTGATGCCATATCTTAATTCATTGTTTACAAAATTGAACAATAAAAGTTAATTTGTATTGACTGAACTGTTTTTCTATCAACAAAATAGTTTTGCAGGCTAAACTGACACATTTACAGCATGCAACTGAACTGTGATGACCTCTGATCAGTATGGTAGCCCTTGCAGTGTTGTGTCATGCAGAAAGTAGCTCATTAAATGCAGTTCAGGTCACAATCAGATTGGCTAAAAACTCTTCATGCTAGTCTGAATTTGCTAAGAATTAATATCCAAAACTCATTTTATGGGTGCTTTTGAGCATCAATGGGATGGAACCTGTTAAAAATGAAGGGCTAGTATTACCAAGTCTCGTATGTTTATTTTATTTCTGATTTCTAACTTGTTTTTCCAATGTATTAAAAGCTATGTTCCCAACAAATTCTGTAAATACTTTTCCCTTTACATTAGATTTGTAGGTGGTTTGATGTAGGCGATTGTAATCATATTGTGTTGTGGCTTCTGAATACTGTTCTTGTTGTTTATATATCAGCTGTGTGTTTTTAGAGACATTTGACAAAATAGGGGAATATGACTTTTGTATCTAACTTTTTACTGTTAATTCTCAGTGTTATCTCTCTTAATTTCTTCTTTATCAAGTGTTCAGGGTATTTACTGTTAAGGAGGTTTGTAGTGGTGTGTTTTCTTCCATCTTCGTAGCTTCTTCAGTGTTACAGAGGATCTTCATTATGGGAACTAGGCAGTTTGTGATATGCCTATCTTTCACATGAATTGTATTGCAAAATATTGACTGATCAGATGGTTTACGAATTCCTGAATCTTGTCTGAAGTGTTTGGCCATATTACAAATGTATTACCAATATATCCGAGTCAAATCTTGGGGTGTAGAATGGCTGTTTTGAGAGCCATAAATTTCATATAAGATTCAATAATTCATGAACCATCTGAATAGGTAGCAAAAATACCAACAAAAGATAAAAATTAGAATTCACAAGCATGATAGACATATAAATATTGGTAATACCAATCTCTTTGCAGTAACCAATAATTCCAGATAAAAAACCATACAATAAATTGGAATAATACTAAAATAATAGGGTATGAACCACACACACACACGTGAGAAAAAGAAAGATAAAAGAAGCCATCCACTTCCACCTAACTGATAACAAATTCATTGCACCTAGTATAAAAGTCAACAAAACCAGAATATCTTTCTTGAAAACATTCAAATAGTGAATTGATCCAAATTCTAATGGAGGAGACCTTAAACAAGTGGATAACACACCAGACTTCCACCAAGAAGACCCAGGTTTGAATCGTGACCAATACCAACACACAAATAATTCTTTTCAGAACATCTTTGAAGTCAAAACATGTGATAAAAAATTAGTTAGTAATTAATAATTAAATTATTGTATAAGCTACTGACCATGACAATGAATAATATCCAATTTCCACAACTTTCTGTAAGTAGCTTAGTCAGATTGACATGTTTTTGGTTATAATAAAACATTTTTTGTATATATCATCTTAATATAATGATATATATAATAAGGACATTCCATTGCAAAACATTATTTACACAAAATACCAATATGCCATATTGTCAATAAACCAAGTACAAATTTGACATTTTTTGTTTGTAAAGATGGCATACATATATCTTGTAAAATTGTTTGTTTAACATAAATGTTTGTTGTTTTTTATTTCCAGTTGTTTACTATACAAGTTAGTTAGGATTCACCTTATTAAATGGTTTAAACTAAAAGTAAAATACGTAGAAATGACTCAGTTTTCTCCAGTACCGTGATTATACAAAATAAAACAGAGTGGGTCTGTTATATTATTTGAAAATTAATGCTTGCATTTCTTTTGTTTTGACATTGAATGAATCATTTGCTATTATACTTGTATTTTATGATAATACACCAATTGATTGTCATTTAATTCTGATATTATATAAAGGATTAAAAGGCTTTATCAGTTTTTTGTGCCTGTGATGAAACAGAGTGTGTGTTTAAGTTTGAGGTTTTTAAAATGTTTGACTAAGTTTCCCTGTTTGGATTAAACATCTCTGTTCACAATGAGAATATTTTTTCTTTATAGAGCTAGTTCATATTATGTACAGTGTATAAAACACAAGGCCATTTAACAAGTAAAAATAGCTTTCATATATTGAAAGTAGTTTTCATCTATTAAGTTTTATAAAAGTATTTAGCAAAATAGATATGAAATAGTGGGCACTTACATTAGATCCTTTAATACCTAAAATTGTCGGTACCAGTTGTTTACGTTAAACTGATAATTAAGGTTATTTTATTAGCCAACTCAGAATGTGGCTCAGGTGTTTTCTCAGCGTATCTCTACTCAACTCCAGCCACCTGTGACTGCAAGTGTAAATATACATCCTATTTCATCTACTATGGCTTTAACAAGTAGTGTAAGTTATTTTTATTTATTTTCAGCAGAAAATGGTAGTTTAAATATTCCTTTTTTTTTAATTAATATATCTGTAATATTTCACAGCTATGAGAATATGTTTAGAGATGTATGTCGCTTAAACTGTTTTCCAGTGCCTTATTAACTTTGTAATTAAATGTTTCATATTATTTTCATAAGTTTTTATATTTATTATTATTGAAAGCATAAAACAGTATGTTATACTGTGAATTTGACTATAAAAGATTAAAAGGATTGTTCTTCAGATTCTTGTATTAAAGAAAATACAAGTAAGCTAGATTTACGTAGAAGAAATAATTAAAAGTAAGACATCTCCATTGTATTTATATTCATTTATTCTCACATATAAAACAGTTGAAGCAGGCTTGTAATAGCCTCTAACATTTAGATCATTTTGCTTATTAATCTTATTTCTGGTTGTAGTATGGTATAGCTAGAGTCACCAAAATTTTTATAGTTTGTCCATGACTTTTTATAGAAAGAAGACTTGTTCAAAATAACAAAAGTTAGGGTTATTTTATGAACACTGGTAGAAAGAAGAATGATGATTTAATATTGTTTTTCTCCTTCCTCTCTGAAACTTATGTCCAGATTAATGCAAACTTAAAGATTTTTTATGAACAACTTAAAATTGTTCAAAATGTAAAACTTGATAAAATTTACTTCCATTAGTAATGACAAGTCTTAGGGAAAAAAAACTAGAATACTGATTTAATAGTTGATGTAGTTTTTATTTTGAAATATAGGTACTTTTAAATGGTTTTATCCATAAATTTTGTTGTTTCTTCATTTTATGCAGATTTCATCAGTGGATCCACGGCTTTCTATACGTGATCCAAGATTGAAGCGAGATCCTCGTTCAAACTCTGTCACTAGTCCAGCATCCAGCTCAACGCAAGCTGCAGTAGACCCAATTAGCATTAACAGAAGCTCTGAAGTAGTGGTTTCAACTGTGCCTTCATTAGTCATTGTGCCTTCTACGACTTCATTACCGAAGAATTATGATGTGTCCTCAGTAAGAAGTAATTCTAAATCAGTTGAAAAGCTTCCCACTAAGCCTGTTAACATTGATAGTGATATGTTATCCACATCAACATCTGAACGTACTAAAGCTACAATTTCTGTAACTGATGCCAAAACTGTTTTTGAAGCCATTAAACCTTTGTCATCAAAACATTTGCAATCTACCGAAAAGAAGTTGTTTTTTAGTCCTTCCAAAAAAGAACCCACACCACAGCAGTTAAAGCTTACAGAAGAAAGAACTACAAAAGGTAATCAAACAAAAAGTCCAACTTCTGAAAGTAAAAGTAAGCTTGGAAAAGATAGTAAAGAAAAAGTGCACAATAAACAACAAATCAGTGATTCCAAATCTGAAAAGGCAACTAATGATAGAAAAATCTCAAGTAATGAAACTTCAAAAACCAGTAAGATTAATCAAAACAAAAAGAACATCCAGAAACAAGGAAAAGATAAGTTGTCTATTGAAAATAGAACCAGAGATAAAACTGGACACAAAGAAAGACCTAAAAGTGTAGAAAAAGAAAAAAAGAAAGACAGTGTTGAACATTCATCAAATGTTCAGAGAAGAAATGTGAAAAACAAGGAATCTATATCTCCCAAAAAAGAAGACTCGAAGGTTCGGGATTTGGACTCCCGGATAGAAAATAAAGTGGCAAAAGATGATTCAAAGAAACCTACTAAAAAAGGCAGAGTTTCTACAAACAGAGATCGATCTCGGTCTCCATTAGCTAAAAAAAATGGAAGAAAGATGGTCAGTCAAAATTCTGTAAAAGGAAAAGCTAAAGAAAAAAATCAGGTATCTAAAAATCAAGAAGTTCACAACAAAGAAAAGGAGAAAGAGGATAAATTCCCAGCAAAAGATGTAGATTTAAGAGTGTTTACAACTATTCCTAAAAAAACTTCATTGAAGATCAATAATTCTGATGAGAAAGACAAAGACCTTCGAGATACTGAGAAAAAATCCTCAGAAAATACGACCGAAGATAGCAAAGAGAACACAGAGGAACCTCCTGTAAAGAAGAAGAAAATGGAAGAAAGCAAAAGGTCATAAAGATAAGACTAACTTTTGTGTATGAGACTAGAATTTTACAATGAATTTTTAGTTTTATCTTATAATTTCACCCTTTCTACTTAACTTGTGTTATTTTGTCGTAATAATTAAACTGACTAAAATGTACCACTGAACAAGATACTTTGGTTTTAATAAAACAGAGTTGAAGCTTTAAAAAATATACCTAGCATAGAAATACAGTTACATCTAAATTTCAAAATTTACTTACAAAACTTGTCTCTTTAAGGAAGGTAAACATTTTGTTTTAAGAACAAAATTATAATTTTTGTATTATATAAAAGAGGTTATTTAGTTCATTTTAATGTTTGGTAGTGCAAGCAAAAAAGTTATCTGCATTAGACTAGTATTCGGATTGCTTTGTTAGTGCTGAAAATAGTTTTGAAAGATGAATGCTCAAAATATCATTTTTGGTTGAAGAACAGAACTGTAAACTTGTTTTGGATTTTATTCTAAAATATGATTCTATTAAGGTTTTTATTTTAGAAAAATATTGACATATGATTATAAATTTAAATAATTTTATGAGATGTATATTCAAAACCTTTGATTGGTAATGTTACTTCATCTCTAACTTAAATCATTGTAAAGTTCATTTGTAAACTTAATACTCAAGTGGGGGTTGTCTGTTGTGAGACAGAAAGGGTTAACATGTATACTTTTGTCCTTGATTCTTAAAATTTTTGTTTTTATAAAGAAAATATGGCTCCACGTGAAATGCTAATGTTTGTGAACATATAAAGGTTATCTTATCTATAACTAAATTCCTAGATACTGATGCAGTCTTTCATTATAAGAAATGTCACAAGACCATTTATGTACCTCTGTGTATTTGTGAATTTCAAGAGTTAGTAAGAATAGACAATTTTAGTTTCCTACTGGTGCATTTCAAATTTAGGTTCTTTGGAAAGAAAGATCAGGATTACAGACAATTTCCTATGGGTCAACTCTTACCACCAAAAAGTCCTGCACAACAAGGCTGGGCTCAGTTTAAAGCATCCCATCCAGATGAGTATAAAATTCCTCTTCGTCCAGCACGGGAGAATATGGATGGTCCTTTTCAGTTGGGAACAAAGGATCAAGATCTTAGACAAGAATTTCCAGGTATATTAACCATTTTTCCATTCTGAGCACTTAATACCTTATAATCTTGTGTAACACCAACTACCAAAACAGTCTTTGAAAATATAACAACTGTTATAAGATTAAACTTGAAGCACTAGACAGAAATTAAGTTAGAACTGTTTACTTTAAGCTCCAAAGATAAATCCTGTCATATGTTTTGTATTTGTTGTATCTTATACAGTTTTAACTTTATTTTTGTCTTGTCCTTCAGTGTGTTTTTATTCTTATCTTTATTCCTGAGTTTTAATTACTTGATATAAAACAACTACCATAATTTTATTTGAATTCATTTATATTGGAGAATTTAATGTGTATGAAATTTAAATATCTTTTTAAATAGTTCCATAATGATTTTTAAATTGAAGCAACAATGGAATTGTTTTACCCATATTTTAGAGAAGGAAATAACACCATAAGACAAAATTTATGTGGCATAAATTCATCTGATTTCAGTGTTTAATTTACTTCTTATTACATTCTAGTCAAAGTTTTCAAGGCAGGTAATTCTGAGTAATTGTTTAACAGTATTTTGACATTTGTATACATATTAAAAGTTTAGAATAATAGTACTGCAATCTATTGTGCTCTTTTATTCAGGAGAAAAAGTGAATCGACCATCATTGCTTGGAAAAGGTCCAAGTATTGAAAGAGGCTCTCAAGATACAAATCTTAGGCGGTATGATCGTCTTGGGCGACCACTTCTAAGCAGGTTGCACATTAACCCATATTCCTATAGGAAGGGATTTTCAAGTAGGTGAGTGCAACTCATGAACATCTTCCTTTCCTTTAGGACTGGATGAAAATCTTGGGACTTTAGTATGTCAAAATGTTACACAAAGATTCTATCATTTGTACAGGAGCTTTATGGCTATATAAAATTGCCTATAAGTGACAAAATGGTGTTTGTAAGCTACATTAAAATTTGGTCTTTGTCCTTAAAAAGTGCCATTTCTGTTGGCTAACAGTTTGGAAGTACCTAATAAAATGTGTAATGAGATATATTGAGAAAACATTTTTTTTTTGTAATTTGTGGTGTTTTGCTTTAGCTACTAAATTATGTCAAACCAATTAATTAAGTTGAACTAATATATATAAAAACTTTTTTTTTTTAAATAATGAATACTTCTTCTGCAAAAAATTTTTAGATACAAAAGATTTTTGTTTTGGCTATAATTTAACCATTTTTAAAAATAAATGCTGCAAAAATTGTATCTGAAGTGTCATTAAATTTTATCAGTCAGTAAAAATATCTAAAAATAAAGTAAAAATGTTGTGAGCCTTTTACTGATCCAACAAATATCTAAAATAATTATGTCCATGTTGAAGACCCTGTAGATAGATGAATTGTGAAATGTTTTCTGTTTTAGATTACCAAACTTAATTTGGAAAGTTTTTCATACCTTTTCCATTGAAAATTGATTGTTTGCCTTTTTATGTAGCTTGTGTGTAGGTACATGTATTAAATGTCATTTCTGATTTATGCAAAAAGTAAAATAAATAAAGAGATTGTGTTCACATGTCACAATTTTCCCTTGTAGACATGGATATACTTCTTTACGTGATCAACAACATATTCAAGTGATGATTGAGAAGCAAAAAGAAATAATTCAAGAAATAGAAGACCAGCTAAAATCGGGACGCTTAACAGCTGAACAACACAAGGAGTTCGTTCAACAGTTGCATAAGTTATATGAAGTACAGCGCTCACATGCTGGACAGTGGCATTCATCTGGTCTAGTATGTTCTGTTTTATTTAATCGTACATAACATTTTATTCATCTTTCTGTATACTGATTATGTGTATTAGACTAGTAGTACTCATGGTTAAAATTGTTTAGACATGTTGTCAATAATAAAAACTTCTTATCAGCAAAGGGCAAGTAATTGGAATATTGGTTTCTGTAATCTTAATAAAATTGTATTTCTTTATAGTCAAAACCAGAAGACCTTCTTCAAGAACAGGATGGCTATCTATCTCGTCTCAGACTGGATAGTAGTTTTAATAAAAAACCTAACCATGTTACCACATGGCTTATAGAAGATCAGATGAACCTAGAAAATGAAGTTAGAAGCAAAGCAGGTATTTTTATTTGGCTGGCTTTGATAGTCATTTTTAGTTTTAGTCAACAGTTATTACAGTTTACCATGTAAAATGTTTTCAGTTTGCATGGAAACACAATATTCAGGCTATGTGGTTTTATTCAATGAAGAAATAAGTTGATGACATTGTAAATGTAATGTTTAGGATGTCTAAAATGCAATTATGAACACCACTGCCTTTCATAAACTTCATATTTACATGTGACTAATATATGCATATGCGTTTGTGTGTACATATATATATATAAACTACTGAAAGAACAGCTTGCTTGCAGTGATATCATATATTGACTTAGTGTCATTTCATTTCGAAACTATATGGTGTTCATTAATTTTTAACCTTGTGTCAAAACTACAACTTTTCCCAATTATATGTACCTTTTTCTGTCTATTGTACAAGTGCTGAACTTTGCAAGATATCTTAACTGTGTTTAGTGAACCATTTTAGTGAACTACAGTTGTTTAGAAGTTTGTGTTCAGAAAGAAATTTTTGAAATAATTACTGATGTAATATAATATTTTACACATAAAACTTCAAAATATTCATAATATTCCCAAATTATTTCCAAAATTTTTTTATTTGGCAAATGAGATTAATTGTCACATTCAAGCATCATGAAATTGTTTTTAACCCTATACACAATGGTGAGGATCAAAGTGTGTATACCACAATCTTTTATGGAGTGCCATTCAACATGATGTTATGTATTTCATGTCAGAGTTAAAAAGAATCTATGGTCCTAAGTATGAACCAAAAAAAAGTGTTTGAGAGGCTCTGTTTTACTGCTATTACTATTTATATGTCGACAACTGTAACATATCAGGGTACAGTTCTGAGCCATTTGATAAGTATACTATGTTTATAACAATATACATAATAGAATTGTGTATTTTCAATCTCCTTGAGGAACCTTAATCTAGGCCACTGACTTAAGACCAGATAATCTTGGCAATTACTTACCCCCATGTTTTTCAACCATTTTATAAAATATACCCCCAGTCATATCTTTGAGCCAGTGGCATACTCCTGATGCATATAATGTGTAAAAAATAACTAAAAAGGGGATTTATTAATAAAAGGTTACCTTTTGCATTTAAGGGTGAGTCTACAACATTCTAATATTGACTTTTTGCCGATGGAATATGTTGGTAACTCACCAATTTTCTGGTGTGATGTATATTTTCTTCATTATTTATTTAAAAGGTTCTTGTATACTTCCAGGTATGTGTATCATGAGTTGAGAACTACTGATCTTGACTAATTTCTCATGTTCTTGGCTTCATTACTTACTTAGCTATGGGGTAATTCATTTTACACAATGAGGCTTGATATTATGACACCCAAAGAATTTTTATAGTTTTCTTGAAAAATAAACTTCTATAAGTTATTTGTACTTTTCAAACTGAGATTTCTTCCCAGTTTAAGTAGATTTTTGTGCTATTTTGGTACTGTAGTTGAAATATTTATATATTTTACACCTTTAAGTGTAGCAAATGAGACAGAACATCCATGTTATACTGGAAATATTTGTAAATAGTTCTCTCATAACCAATCTAGTTTGGTTTTAAAGGAAGAAGATTGCATAATAGTATTTTAAATGAATTGCCTATTCTGTATTTTTGATATCAAAGTTTATCAGGTTGACTGGGTTACAACAACAACCAAAGCTATAATTGATATTTTTTTTCTATGTCAATTTTTTAGAGCATTACATTGCCTCATGTATAACACTGAAATTACATTAAAATATAATTATGCTGTGTATCTCTGGAGCTCAGCATCCTAAAATTTATTTTACTAAGTAATAATTTTGCTTAGCTTTAAAATCATTGAAAAGTAAAGTGTTACTGCAAACTAAAATATATTTCAATTATTGAGTTATGCTCTGTTAAGACATCAACTGTTTACATATACTTATTAATCTTAACAGGTGGAACAAATGATGAAAGATCATTAGTACAGAAAAAAGTCAAAGCTGAGTCCCTTCATCAAGACTTAATTTTGCCAGATAAAGGACCTATTCAATTGAATGGGGAAGTCAAACAGATTTACTATTTTGGAAACAAGGCTGTAGTTATGGTGAATCGTGGTGACCCTAGAGAGATAGCATTCACTGGCAGTCCTGTTCCAGTTTTTATAAATGATAAGGTTGGTGAATTAACTTATTAATTTGTTTGTAATTATCTTGCATGGTTCTAAATATTGTTGAACTAACAGTTTGGTATATGAAAAACCTTAATAGTTATGCTTTAGTTTTTGTATTTTATTCAAAACAGTATAGAAGTAGAAGACATACATACTTTGACAAAGAAAATATCAAAAGTAGTATAGTTTATATATATATATATGCCTGATATTCTATCAAAATTTAGTGCTTGACTATAATCACTAGAACTAACAGAGAAATTTATGGATTCTTTGAAGAGAATAGTCATGATAGACTTCCCATAAGTTCTATGTTGATTATAGTCATTTGTTTAGAAAAATTAGGAAGGAAACAGATCATTTTATAATTATCCAACCTAGATTGTATGAATTTAAGCCTGCATTATAAGTTGACTGTATTGATGAGTAAAATATGGAGGTTTTGCATGAACCAAAACTTATGTCACTATCATCAGTTCATTAATAGAGAACACCTAAAAGCTGCAAGGCTTTACACATACATTTATGTGTGGTGAATGGTGGTGGTTGTAGTAGTGGGTGAGATATTTTCAGCTGGTTCTGGACCAATATTAGTCTTTATGGGAAAGCAAATTTTATGAATGAAAAACTGACAGTTGATAAAGTTACCCAAAAAAACATGCTGGATGGAGTGTACGTATTTTGACTGCACTACCATAGAAAAGATTTGTTGATATTTGTTACATTTGTAAAACATTCTTTGAAATAGACTTTTATGAATGAAATGTAACATGATATCTTAAAAAAAAAACTAAAACATTCATCACCACTTGTGAGATCCATAAGAAAGTACAGTTTGTGTTCTTATACTGTTTTACTTCCCTGAATAAGAACAAAACTTTTCTAAAAGCTTTAAAGCATACTCCCATGTAAAAGGTCATACTACTATACAGAATATCAGTATTACTATGTGTGTGTAAGAAAAGGCACAAGCAGTGCTTCATATATAAAAAATATTACATTTTACAGATTTGCCAAATCTTATTCTTCCCTTTTAAAAGCTTTATTTTTTGTATGAATTTATTAATGGAAGTTGCAGAGTTGTTATTAATTCAAATATCTAATTATACTAAATGTTATTCACCATTGCTTCTTTTTGTTGTAATATTACTTAAAGTAGTAACATTATAACAATTATATCCTTTCATTCAGACCCTGGGTCTTGGATGCTGTTCCCGCATTGAAAATTTCACTTGTATGTTTTTAAGTTTAAAAAAATGTCTGGAATACAAATTGTTTTACTAAGGAGAATAAGAATGTAAGGGAGAAATGCAGTTTATATGCTATTTAAATGACATTTTTCATTTACAGATTTTAATTTTTTGATGTACATTCAATTGTTTTTCAAACAATTAGACCATTGTAATAAATTAGTGCATAAGGTTTGTTGGAGTGTTTATTTTTACCAGATGTTTATATTAAAGACATACCCTGAATGTCCTCACAAGTATCCAGATGGTGATGTGTGTGTGTGTGTATTTGTAAAATTAAAACTTTTGAAGTTAAGAGTTCCAAGATATCCATTTAAGTTTTATTATTTTTAGGATCCCATTACCTTACACTTCGAAAATGAAATGAAAGAATTTGAATTAGATGGCAAGAAACATACCATAAAGTTTGGGCTTCCAGCTCGGGAAATCTACATAGATGGAAAACCTTATGAAGCAAGATTTGATGGGCCTCCAATTGATGTACCTTTAGATGGGTCATTGTGTAAAATCAGGTTGGGTGGTCCACCACCAACTATAGTAGTTGGGGAAGAGCCCCAGTATCAAATTTTAGATTATCTTGAGGCAGTTGATGAGGCTAAGAAGAAACAATTAAGAAAACCACCTGATATATCTGAGAACTTTCTTGATGTCAAGCTAAATGAGGAAGCTGAGGTTGAAGTAAAGGACTCACCAATGGATGTTGATTTAAGAGGAGGAGGTCATTCTGGTGGTTTATCTCCAAAACAGCGTGGTAATGATGAACAGAAGAAATCTGGATTAGATAGTTCAAAGGAAAATGTGTCTAATGAAGAGAAAAACATATTCAATGAAGGTATTGATAGAAAAAACACATTAGATTTGTTTTCAAATCTTAAAGATGTGGATATGAGAAAAGTGTCTGGACCAGTAAAGAAAGAGTCTGTAGCAGATGATCTAGACCAAGAAAGCCCAGATGAAACAATAAATAGCAAGTCACATCATTCTTTACTTCCTCTCTCAAATAAGAACATAGGCCAAGATTTATTGCTTGACAGGACTCTAGAATGGAGGGAACATATTCCTCCTTCAGAAAGGTTTTCTCATATATTAAAAGATCGTCACAGAGACTCTCCACCAAGAATTGTCAAAGGAAGTCCATGGAATAGTCCTGCCCACATGGAAGGTTCTGTAGGTAGTCCTTTATACCATGATGCTTCAGAACAACGTCCAAGTCGTACTCTTTCCCCAAGAAGGATGGTAAGCTACATTTCTCATATCGTGTTTGGTAGATACAACTTTTGTTGAAAGAAAAACGGTCTTCTGCGTAAAATTTATGTGATAAATCAAACTGCAATAATATTCAAAATGAAGTCAAGGGTGTTTTTTGCTGGCATATTTCTGATAACTTAAGTCATGACATGTTATCAAAATATTTATATTAGTTTAAATATGCATAATATGACTCAGCACATTATTAGTAACTCAAAAATGATTGTCTAGTAACACAAAAGTGTCTTGAAATATTTTTTTTCATATAGATTCCTAGTATTTAAGTTTTCTTGTAGTAGAGCTGACTGTAGCTTGTGAATATAAGTAAAACTTTACAGTATTCAACAGTTTTCTTGTAGTCAGAGCTGACTGTAGCCTGTGAATATAAGTAGAACTTTACAGTATTCAACAGTTTTCTTGTAGTCAGAGCTGACTGTAGCCTGTGAATATAAGCAGTACTTTACAGTATTCAACAGAGTTTTCTTGTAGTCAGAGCTGACTGTAGCCTGTGAATATAAGTAGAACTTTACAGTATTCAACAGTTTTCTTGTAGTCAGAGCTGACTGTAGCCTGTGAATATAAGCAGTACTTTACAGTATTCAACAGAGTTTTCTTGTAGTCTAAAATTGTAAAATAAGTCTTCTTAATAAGTTTCTTATCACGACAACTATTAGCATGTAATGTTGAACTTCAAAATATTTGGTAGTCAAACAGCTTTTTTTGAACTTTGGGTTGAAACTTACGTAACAATGCTGTTAACATGTGAGTGTAAATCTTGAATGGTATAGATCTCACTCTGTTTTCTATATTGTTCAAAAATATAAAGTATGCTAAAAAGATTTCTGTTGACATAATACTCAATTTGTTATAGCCACGTTAAAACTAAAATCTACTTACGATACTAAAACACTATTGTGGTATTCCGTAATAATGTCATTTTGAACTTATTAATGACATTCCTTCGTATTCTCATTTTCTTTAGAAGTGGTAAATTCAGCTAATTTGCAGATCATTTATGTCTTCCTATGTATGTTATTTCCTTTCTACCTTCTTTAAGTCATGCAGCCTTGTTATCTTAAAATGTTCAGAAAGAAGTTCCTCATCTTTTCCTCCAGCTATTTTTTACTTTGTATTTGTAATAAGTTTGTGCCTCTCTAGAGATGATTTCAAAGTTATTGATTGTACTCTTCAGTCAGTCACATCATTACTTTGTTAGCATTAAAGCAATACAGTAGTTTGGCAAATGGTATATCTACTTGAAAAATAAAACAGAAATCTCCAAAAAATATTATTAAAATTTGATTCTGAAGTTTTTGAAAATTGAATGGCATTAAAGAGTCATTTGTATTTATACAGAGAAATAATGTGAGTGTAAATTTATATGTGATTTATTTCTGTGTTGATACCTAAATGGTGCATTTCTAGTTAAAGCATAGCAATCAGTGTTTAAGTTTATAGTGAAATTATTGATCTTGAAGGAACCTATGGATTGGAAGAACAATGAACAGTCTCATGGTATACCTCAAGGACAAAACCGAGTCTCCCCTCATAACTGTCCAGATATGTGGGAAGATGGTACTGAACCAAGAGCCAGATGGAAAGATGAGGACAGGTGGATTTGTGAGCCTCCTGACTGGCCAAGAGACCAATCTGGAAAGGCACTTCTTAGACCTCCTGATATGACTCCTCACCCAGGGGTAGGACGTGGGCATTTACATCCCAGGGAATTTGATAAAGAGGAATGGGGACCAGAAAGAGAACTTTCACAGTAATAACTTTTTTTAACTACATTTAATCTTGAAATAGCAAAATAATGAACAGCATCTTCTAAGCTCATAAAATGTACACATTCATCATCAGGTGTATGTATGCCTTCTAAATTTATATGTATTTTTTTAAAAATATTCCAGACTTAAGAAAAAAAAAACATTCTGGGTGGTTCAAATTGGTATAAATGTTGTCCAATGTAATAAATTATTTAAAACAAAATATAGCGATGTGAATTTTAACATATTTTGTATATTGTGAACTGTGTTGTTTGTTCGAGCATTTGTCTGTCTCACATTTGAAAAGCTGCGCATACAGGCAGAACCCAACATTCACTTTTGAAATGATGGGAGAACAAGCATGAATAATTTTCATGACAAATTTTATTTTGCAAGCAGAATATTCTACACTAAATTGTTAGGAATTGATCACACTTTCATTCACATTTCAAAATGTGACTTAACCTGAAGAATAGAAATGTAGATTTACTGCATGTTATTGTTTTCTGGCTCTTTGCATAACTGAAATGCTCAACAATTACTATTCTTGATGGGTGGTATAAGTAGCTCTGAGCTTTGGATCTTAATGAAAGAAAGATTGCAACACAATTAACCTTTTTAAAGACCATGAAATAATTTAAATTGTTAGATTAACTTAAACTTTTCCCGTCACTGGGAATGGGTACTTTTGCTTGTAGCTTTATGAAGGTTACGTTCTAGTTCCTGATATAATTTCTTTATTACTCATTTACTGCCTGAACTGTATACATTGCAATAATAATCATCTAATGATGAAATGTTCAAATTATAGTCTAATTTTTCTGCCACTTCTAAAATGTTACTATATACCCCCCCTTCCATATGAATAATGTTGTTATGAAATAGATAGTAATGGAATGTTTGTACATTGTTCTTTTGACTTTGTAGATGTGCACGGTCAGTTAGCTACTTCATTGTTATAACCTTAAATATCAGCTGTAAAATGCAGTTCTTCAACCAAAGATTTTGCATTAAGATTTTAAATTGCCTAGACAAATAATACACAGATAATTAGACATTTATGTTAATGGCTGTGAGAAAACAACATTGTAGCAGTACTTGTGCTGGTAAAACTGAAGTTTCACGAGTTACCAGCTTGTTGAATTCATAAAAAAGAAAGGCAATTTGATTATAATGTTACACTGAGTCTGAACAGAAATGATACTTGTTTTTCTGTACCTTTCAGTAGCAGACTTTTGGTTTTCATTATTTCAGTTTTATGGAGGATAATAAAGTAATACTAGACAATATAATGGTCCAGATTGCAACAGTAAACATCAACAATTTTAACCTGTGTAAAATGTGTGAGCTGCATGTTGCATTCTATAGATTATCATTTTTAATCTTTATGTAAAAAAAAGTATTATTATCTGTTTTACTTTTCAAAGCATGAATTGTAGAAGAAAATAGATTAAGTGTATAGTGTTACATAAGTACCGTGGGATGTTCACAATTTATGTTCACAGTCACATTGCTCCTGGACAGTTTTCAAGGTCTGGGCTACACAGTTTAAAATCCTGATGTTTTGGTTGAATAATATTGGTAAAACAGTGAAAGATGTGATTCTGGCAAGGACAAACCAAGTTATTCCATGATCAACTACCGGTTGTGCTCAAAACATGGGTGAATGGAATACCAACTGCTAAAAGCTGTATGAGCAGTAGGTGGCATGTGACAAATAAATGTATATGTTGTCACCTTGGACTTGGCAATGTCTTCTTAAGTGTCTGTAAAAGTCTGGGCACTTTATTATCATCCTGCTGGAGATACAACATTTTAAAAATGATACAGAACCTATCTGAAAAGTTTTTCCAACATGATAGTAGGGTATAGCTAGAATATTAAGTATCTGAAGTGTCAAGAAAATTCTTCCATTAGTGAAAATTGTGCTGTTGAGCAAAAAGACCATAACCAGGCCATTATATAGAACATCAGTGGTGTTAGGAGAAGGGACTATAAGCTCTGTACTGTGGATCGTCAGCATACATTGTGAACTCATCTCTGTGTCTATATGTGTGTTGCATGGGTTTTGATATTGTTTAACTGGTTGTAAGTTGTACTGTTGAGTAAAAAGACCATAACCAGGCCATTATATAGAACATCAGTGGTGTTAGGAGAAGGGACTATAAGCTCTGTACTGTGGATCGTTAGGATACATTGTGAACTCATCTCTGTGTCTATATGTGTGTTGCATGGGTTTTGATATTGTTTAACTGGTTGTAAATTGTACTGTTGAGTAAAAAGACCATAACCAGGCCATTATATAGAACATCAGTGGTGTTAGGAGAAGGGACTATAAGCTCTGTACTGTGGATCGTCAGCATACATTGTGAACTCATCTCTGTGTCTATATGTGTGTTGCATGGGTTTTGATATTGTGTAATTGGTTGTAAAATGTGCTGTTTCCATTCCAATTACAAGTACACATTACAAGATGCAAGTAATTTGCATTAAGACTGATCTCAACAATAATTCTAACACTTTTTATATTGATTTTAAAAAAAAATTATAGCTTATTGTGATACTTCCATTTAATACCTTTAACCTTGTGCATGTAGGCTTTATCTGTTTGACCAACTTTGTAGTGTGAATGTCATGACCTAATTTTGTTTTTTACGGAGTTACATTCAAAATTTAATTAAATAACTGTTATCAATGCATGTTAATGAACTTGACATCAGAACATAGTTTATAATTCAAATGCTCTTATTATCTAACTTTTAATCTCTTAATTTCAAAAGGAAATTAAAAAAAATCTCAATCTTTACTCTTCTAGCATGTAACAAATCTGCTCTTAGATCTCTCCCATTTAGCTTTTATAACTTCAACTTTGCAGCTTGTTTAGTGCCTAGCCACTGAGAAACACAAGTAACCCATATTGACAAGGACAGTAGTTAGTAGGAAAAGCTTGACGTGTGTTGAGTATAGTCTTTGATGCATGTTGTAGTAGAATTTTTTTTCTAAATTATTTAAAACTTAGTTGGAAAGCCAGATAAATTATAGTAGTTTCGGGGAAATTCTGTTTTAGTTCTTGATAAATCTTTTATGTTCTAAAATGCATATTTGAGAACTACATAAATTATTTTTTGTACAATCAACATGTCTTGTACGAAGTCCTATTTTATTTATATCATTACTCACTTCAGCCCTTTATTTCAAATCAAGTTTGCATCTCTTTCTCTCCTCGAGCGGGGACAAAGGAAGATTGTTCTATCTTCGAGCACCCCCAATAATTGATTATTTTCAAAATAAGTAATTTCATCAAAATAACTGCCAGTCATTCCAATCCATTCCGCCATAGTGAGAAAAAAAGTAAGGTTACTGAAGCACAGTCTCTGAGTACAAGTAGCCTCAACATACAAAATTAGTGCTAAATTTCTTGTTTTTTTATATAAATTCTTTATTATTATCTATTTTTCATAAAAGTAACTAAAATTTACAAATTAGAAACTTTTTAGGTCAGATAAAACTTAAAATGAAAAGTTAAATAAAAATTTTTTTAGAAGATCAGTCATTAGAGAAACTGCTCAAGGTATGCATGTCATGTGCTATAACCTGGTTTTTATTTACCCTAAGCTCTCTCACCATGATTTATTGCTTTTCATGTCAGAGGGTCAGAACAAAGTAAAGTAATAAAACTATAAGATTTAGAGAAAGCAAATGTGAAAAGGATATAAGCTGAAGCTGTTAGGATAAATAATTATGATTATCTGCTATAATCTGCAGTTATTATTGATTTTATTTCATATTTTTGAATATTTTATTTCACTTTACATTGGTGATTTCAATACAGTTTGTGTCAGTGTACAAAAAATAAGAGATTAAAAATAAGGTTGTACAAAAAAAAATTGATATTCATTTCGAAGGAATGTTCTAGAGGTTGTGTAAGAGAAATATGAAACTGTAAGTTAAAAGAACTATTGTTATTCTTAGCATAAAAATCACTTTCACTTGGACTGACTCAATAAAGGCTTCATAAATTCAGATAAAAGTATTAGTAAAAATATTTTATTTATAAAAACCAGATTCTGTGTACTACAAACATAATATGTACTAAAAGTTTTCCAAATTTTATGAAAATGCACTTAATACACCAGTAAAGAAAATGTTTATTCCTCTCCTCAGTCTGTAAGTTAAATGTCACTAAGTGCTTATATTTTCGTTTTTGTTTTCTGTCTTTGAAATGCATTTTTACTCTATACCTGATTTGTAAAAAAAAAGCACTTCATTATTAAATTTGAATTTTTTTTTTCTCCCCTAGGCAGCACATTGCACAAAGGCCATCCTTTAGACCTAGACGAAACAGTCCAAGTCACTTTGAAGAATATCCTGAATACCATCTTCAGCCACCACAGTGTGCTGTCAGACAAAGGTAGTGTATTTTGTTTATGAACCCATTTCATCCATTGAAAATAATAGAACAAACTTAATAAGCTATTAAGTAAGGTAGTGAGGGCTGTTATTCATGCATCTTTATCCCTTTTATTTTTCATATTTATTAACCTTATTATGGCAGCATTTAGGTGTTAAATGTTTGATCTTTGCACGTGTCCAAGGGGTATAGTCTATGAAAAAAAAGCCCTTGTAGGTTTTTTAGAATTTTTCTCTCTATCCCAAAATATAGGTTTATATTTACTCAAAACTATAGAAATGCTTATTCTTGTTTTGTTTCTCACATGTCTTCCCTTTTCTATCAGTAAAATTTTACACACCCTAGTGTAGCGAGGCTTTTGTGATAACACAGCAAGTGGGTTGGACAGTAACCAGTAAATCTTAGCCTTGAAACCAGATAAAACCAATGGCTAGAAATGATTGGATATAAAAGATTCTTGTCTAACCGTTTCAATGTAAAGTAAATAATGTGGAGTAAGAAATGATTCATGGTTTCTGAAAAAAGTGTCTAGCAGAAGATTTTATAGTGGAGAACAGAGGATTCTAATATGAAGCTTACAAAAGTGAGGAACAACCAATAAACCTGGAAATGTTTTTTGTAATGTCTTTTTATGTTATTTTTGCTTGTGATAATTTTTGTATTATGTCTGTTTGAATATTTTTCTCTGAGAAGACATCAGGTAGGATTAGAGAGAGCCATAAGCTAGGAATTCTGCAACAGCAAACTATTTGGATGACAGAAAAGATTTTATATTTGTGTATTAGTAGAGTTATTGTTACTCAAACAGCAGATATAAGTAAAAGAACTCCTTACTTATTGAACATAGAATAATTATTAAAGAGAAATTAAGCTTGACAAAAAAGTATAATTGGAAGAATATTGTCTATATCAATGTAAGCCCAGGATACAAGTACAAGTTGTGTTTCTGCCTGTCAATGCTTTTGTTGTTCATTGGTTTTTTTATGCTGGTTTTATGTGGCAACATAACCACTTCAGTAAATCAAGATAAATAACAAATATGAATAATTAATTGTTAGAGCTCACTAGGTATATAAAACAAACTCTCTGATCAATAATTAAAAAGTTTTTTTTTTCTCTTATAATGTTTTAATTGTTACTTTCATTGTGTGTAAGAGCTTGTTTTAATAAATGAGAAAATGAGTATATTGTTTCAAGAAAAGCACAGACACAACAATTATAGTTTTATTGAGAAAATTACTATTAGACACATTTATTTGATTTTTGGCACACAAATTCTAAGACAAAAGTATTTTTTTAGTTTCTTCGAAACAATGTTTTTCAACAAAATTCACAACCTGAAATATTATACAAATAAACCAAATTATGTTATTTTTTTTTCTAGTACAAATTCCATATTGTGTACCAAAATTCATGCATTATAAGGTTAAACATTTTAAGTGTAAGAACAAAACAGTGAGTGTTACCCTGCCAGTCCAGAAAGGTTTAAATAACATGAAAAGAATCATCATTGGTTTTTGTATGGAATATTAATAATTTGAACATTTATGAAGTAATGTATTGATACTATTTTGACTTGTAGTTTCTTCAATTTCTTGAATTTCGTTATTAAAGACTGTACTGAGTTACAACAGTTACAATCCAAAATACATTTTGTCCTGGTATTAGGCTTTTAAGAAGAGAAGATTTTATAACAATTTAGTCCATGTGTAAGAAGGATGAGAGTATAACTTTTCAGTCAGAAATTTATATGAAAAATATTCAAGATAATACAAATATAGGAAATTAAAGAATTTTTTAAATAAAATCCAGATACTTAAGGTTATAAGTCTAACTGAAAAATGTGCTTTATCTAGATTGCACATATTTTAAGTCTTATTGAGCATACTTATGTAGAAATATTAAAAATAACTTTTGGCCTGAAGAACCCTAGTGTTGTAAGAAAGGCCTTATCAGCACTGGATATAGCAGGCATAGTTTATTTGATATATTATTATACGTTCTTTTTTTACTTTCACTCTTAAGTTCTTAGAATTTTTTCTCCCCATCATCAAACAGGCTTCCTCCTCCTGGGGTTCATCCAAGGGAACAACATGTGAGGCCATTTCATGGTCCACCAGAAGCTCGTCCAAGATTTCCTCACTTTGCTCGAGATCCAAGAGGTCCTTATCCAAGAGGACCTTTCATTCCAAATTTCAGGTTAAGGGGTCCGGCAGGCCCACGCTTTTCTGGTATACATCGTGGTCCTCCTCCTCCAAGAGAACGGGGATCAGGCATGTTAAATCCAGTACAGCCTACTGGTCCTCGGGTTCAGAAAGCTTTACTGCCTGCTCCAGTCTCAGCTGGTCCTCCCTCAAGTGTAACTACCCCCTCACAGAGAGAGTCTCTTCCAGTAACAGGTATAAAACATTGTGGCAGATTGATTTACATTAACCCATTGACTGCTGCTACTCTAAACGTGTGCAGAATTTTTGTAAGCCATACACTGTCTACGACACACTCGCATTCAACTACTGGAGGCGGACCATTTCCTATACGGTGAATCGGCAGTCAACGGGTTAAAAGAGTCTTTGTCCAATTGTTCATGTTTATGTCAAAGATGGTTATTTATCATCTGCACATACTTATGTTATAATAGACTTAACATTTTTATCGTTAATCAGTAAATCTCAAGGAAAAATGAAATGATTCTTGAGTATCTGAGTTTTCACAGTTTTTATTTCTTCACGTAATTCTATTTCTGATAACCATAAACCTGCACTTGGAGAAAATTGCATGTATGTTTCTTCAAATATTTCACTGATTGCATTTATTGGTAATACCCCTATCACTCAGCTGTAGGTCGCATGGACCGACATTGCAAACAGCTATACTATTCCCTGTTACATCTGGAACTCTTCTGAAGAATTGCCAATAAGTGAAATATGAAGTATCTGAAGAAATGTATCAGTTTCAAAGTATTACTATGATATTTTACTCTTGTAAAACTTAAAGAGGAGTTGCCAATTTTTATGACAATTTCTTTTATAGATTCATAAATTTATGTAGTTTTGATAAGGAATGTTTTATGCATCATAATATCAGTTTGTTTTGTAAAGTGTTTGATGTTATTGAAATAGAAAAAAGTATAGCTATGTTTTTGGCTAGTAACCTTGTAGTTATTTGCCTTTATTGGTTTGATGAGTTTGTAGTCCATCTACATTACTAGCTGTCAATATAGTTGTTATAATCAATAAACAATGTAATGACAAAATGTAATTTTGCTTTAACTTTGAAAACCTTTAAAACAGCATTTAAATACACTTATGTATGTATCTTATTTATATATAGCCTCTCAACCAATGACTAGTCAAGCTCCCATGTTTGTAGAAACACCAACTGTTCCAGCACCCCTAGATATTGATGTTAATACCTTGTTTACCAAACTGGTACTTGCTGGAATAATTGCTGAAGTCTCTCAACCAACTGCCCAGGCCACAAGTAAAGAGGAACCTCCATCAGTTGAAAATAAAGAAGAAGAGGACAAGAAAGAAAATAAGATCAACCAAGAGGAAGAGAAAATTCCTCCCATTGAATTGAAAGCAGATTCCTTGAAAATGTAAATATACATTCAGACTGACAATACTAATCATTACTTTATCAACTGTGCTTTATCCGTTATCTTCATAAAGTTATAATCCAGAAATAGCAACTTGCTATATTGAAATAGTTTACTATATATCTATATATATATATATATATAAGTATATAAGTATTTAGACTAATAGTTTGCTAAAAATAAAATTCTTAAACCTTCATTATTTATGTATTAGGTCATCAAGAAATTAATGTCGTATTTTGGAACACTTTCATTAACCACCCTCCCAAAAAATGTACATCACGTATGATAGGTAAATGAACTGCCTAAACGACACATTAGTGTAGCCTATATAATGTGTAAAGTTTAGTATACTCTAATCCCTTATAGTGATGGCACATGACGAGACACACATTCATCATGTAATGCTGTTTTAATACAACAAGGGAAACAATGCCTCTGTAGCCACAAAGAGTATCAAAGAAGTTTATGGAAATGTTTTGAATGTTTGTAAGTGTCAACGATGGTTCATCAAATTTCATTCAGGTGACTTTAGCCTTTAAAACTGTGATGGCAGGAGCTGTCGTGTTGGAATTGATATTGATGCTCTGAAGATGCTTGTTGAGCTAACCCAAGGCAACACACTTGAGAAATGGTCCTGAAATTGCATGCCTCTCATAAAACAATACGTAAACATCTAAGGAATATGGAAAACTTCATGAGGAAGGTATTTGGGTGCCTCATGAACTCTCCGATGATAATGGTTTCCAACGTGTGAACGTTGCTTCGTATCTTCTGGCACATAATGCTTGTGAACCATTTTTGGACAGAATTGTCACAGGTGATGAAAAATAGATTCTCTATGAAAATATTAAACACCAAAAAAATTACTCAGTCCTAGACAAAAACCACTTCCGACCCCAAAACCTGGACTTCATCTGCAGAAAGTGATGCTTTGCATTTGGTGGGACATCAAAGGATTAATTCATTTCAAACTCCTCAATCCATGGCAAACTGTCAATGCAGAGATCTATAGTCAGCAACTGGAATGTTTAAATCAAGCCCTTCATCAGAAATTCTCTTCACTCTTCAATCAGAAAAGTGTTGTTCTTCTTCACGACAATACCCATCCACATGTGGCATGCTTGAAGCAATACAAGATTATGGAGTTAGGTTAGGAAGTTCTCCCCCACCCACCATATTCTCCAGATATGGCAACATTAGTGTACCTTCTTTTTCGTTTGCTGCAACAACATCTTAATGGCAAAACGTATACAAATGTGGAAGGTCTTAAAGAGGACATCAACATGTTTTTTGCTTCAAAGCCAAGTGTAAGATGGAAAAGCATCATTGATAACAATGGAGACTATTTCATTTAATAGATGTTTTATTTGGTATATATAAGTTGTTTGGGTTTTTTCGTCTATAAAAATCAACATTAATTTCTTAACAACCTAATAGATAAAGTGAAAAGTAAAGTACTCATACAAATAGTGCATTTTTAAAATTGTGAGGTCAGGCTAAGCAATCTTTTACAGTGAAGATTTATAATTATTAGTAAAAACCTTAAAAACTAATACTTAATTCATTATTGCAACTTAGACTTAAAAAACAACTCTCAAGCTCAAATTGCAGAATTGTTTCATTAATTCCCTATTTGTATTGGTAAAGAGATTTCATATCTTTTTTATAGTTTTGCTATTTTTTTTATGACTGTACTTTTCGATCTTTTATTACAGGTGAAGCTTGATCTATTATTGTACTGATATTCTAGATACAGACAAATTCTGTGATCATTTTTATTTATGAAAAGTAGTAATAAATAAGTAACAACACTTTACTGTGAAACATTAGTTTTCTTATATGTACTTTGAAATATAGTAAGATGTTTTAAAATTGTGGTTTTGTAAGATAGTGAATCCACAAATTAAATTTTTTCTCTCATTGGTAAAGCAGTTTCTCTGCTGTATGAAGGATATTGATAAATAATATTGGGATACTTAGAAATCATGAAGGTTAAAAAATAGATAAATCACAAAAGTATTACAAAAAAAATGCAAGTGCTTTTGAAAGCCACACCTTCTATCTTTGGGGTAAATTGGGAATGAGTAGGAAATGTAAAGTGAAAGTTATTGAGGTTTGTTTCATGGGAATTTATAGCAGCTTTATAATTACTTGATGGAAATGTTTAGGTCCACTTTGATTGGGAATATTACTAGTATGATTGATTTCCAATGTATACAAAGAAAAACAGACATAGGTGGAAAAGGGTTTGGAAAACAATAATTAATTGGGGGACTAGAGAAATGATCTTGAGAGAGATTTTCAAAAGTTATTTTATTAATATGGAAACTAAAATGAGTTGTAATTATGGTAAGATTAAAGATTAAGATTTGGAAAGACAAAGTAACCATCTTGATGTGTGCTTGTTATTTGCTTAAGGGTTAAATGATTTCCTAAATACATTAGTGAAGATCCAATTGATATGCTTTCTTGTTATTCTAGTCATTACCCAGGTGTGATTAGCAGTTTACATAAAGGAACACAATGTGCTTCATGTGGTTTGCGGTTTACCGAGGATCAGCATGATAAATATAGTAGACATCTTGATTGGCACTTCCGAGTTAATAGAAGAGAGAAGGATGGAGTGAAGAAAGCATTTTCTAGGAAGTGGTTTTATGACGTAGAGGTAAGTATATTATAAATATGTAATTAATTAATTTTAGTAGTAAGTTTAAAAACTACTTGTCCTCAACTAAAATTAAAAGTGGCAGAATATAATAGTTCTAAAGGTTACATGAGTATTTATCATTTGATAAGTTAATTTTCTGAGGCTTTCTTTGCTTTCAACTGCAACTAAATATATCAAACCCTGAAAGATCCAGTGATAATATGTTTCAAAATAGTATAATTCAAGTTCAATCAAATTATTTCCATAGCTAAAACCTTTTGAATACACACACACATGCATGCACACACACAAAACAATATACATGACTTTTCAGAAATGTATTTTAAAATATTTATAAGAAAATTGTTTTCAAAATCTATGCATAGATCTATTATCTTCATCATTGTTATTTGTGGTGATAATGTTAGCTGTAAAAATTAGTGGTATAATTTGATGTTTCTTACTGACAAAATTTAGGTTGTAGTTATTGGTGCAACTGATGTTTTACCTTTTTTTAACCAATAGATCCTTCTTACTGCAGAACTGTTGTACTCACTGTGGACTTGAAGAAAGTTATTGTATCTGATGCACTTTTAAAGATTAATTGTTGAAAATTACTCAATGTAAAATATCTGATATAATAATATTTTGTTTATTTTGTTTTAAGGATTGGATCCAGTTTGAGGAAATTGCTGATTTGGAAGAAGGAGGTAAGATGATCAGTATCATGATTATTTCCATAAAGCTAAAGTTTTTCAATAATTATAAAATTAGTTTATACAAATGTTTATTTTATCTATGAAGAAACTCGGCTATTATCATTATAAAAGAGGAAGGCATCACATTTTGTTACATATATTAGTCTCTGAAATCCTTCTTTTACCCCCACCAAACAAAAGCATATTAAAACTAATGGACTTTTTAAATCCATCAGTTATCTGCTAACTTTGTATGATTTTTATTCAAGACTAGATAAGTTATAGCAAAACTTATCTTTTAAGTATGGTATGTAAGAATTGCTTGTCTTCTGCAGAAAAAGATGTTTGCACTATTTTGGTTCAGTTTGGCTATTTTTTATTTAAAAACATTCCTATTTGCATAAATATTCCCATAATTTTGGCAAAGCGTGTGTGTTTTTAAATCAGTGCAAAAATGACTGTATTTAATATTTATAGTGGCCTTATTGTTATTGCTTCCTATATGAAACGTTACTCTTGAAAGTGTCACCATGACAGATTAAGATTTCAGAAATATAATAGTTGTAACTTTTTTTATTGCACACAACATAATTGTGTTGAATGCTGAAATAGAACCATAAATAGTGTTAAGTTGAAATACTTTATCTCCATAAAATGTATACAGTATTGTTGCATTAGAAAACAAAGTTAATTTTATGTTATTTTGTAGTTAATGCCTTGCTTGTTTATAAAGTTTGAATGCTTCTCTATGAATATTTACTGTGGTCTATTTTTTTCCCACTTTTGGTCTTTGCATTGTTAGTATATGACTTGGAATATTTTTTAGGATTAAAATGCAAGATTCTGACAATTTCTAATCCTTTTATTTTCTATTTCAGCACGTAGCTTTTTTGAGCAGCAAACTGATGAAGAAATTTACCAAACTAATGAGTTAAGTGAACTCCCAAGTGTTATAGCTTCAGCAAATGAAGCCGAAAATGTAAGTGAGATGTAGTTAAAATCTGCCTATAGAAGTATTTTAAAAATAATTTTTAGATGTGCTTTTTTGTATAAGCCATTTTTTAACATATTAGTACATAAGAAAATCTTTTCTAATCACAAGGGCTAAATGCTTCAAAGTTTGGGTTTTTAACTTTATTTTAGAAAAAATATGTATATTCATGTTTTTTTTAAAATGAAGATTGATTGTGGGAAAATAAAATGTTTTATCTGAAATATGAAAAGTTTGTTGAAGAAAATAATTAGAGTTCTCTTGTGCTCAAGACTTTATATTTTAACATTTAACATTATTTATTTTCAATTTCAGAGCTGCTTTGTTTGTAATGAAGCATTTCAGTTGTTCTGGGTAGAAGAAGACGAGGAGTGGCATCTCAGGGATGCTATACGTGTTGACGAGAAGGTAAACTTGTTTCATATTTTAAAATTTATTTTAGGATTCAAACTCAAATTATTATTATTATAATTTAGTGTTTCCAAAGTTACTAACTCACAGCCACATTTATAGATAAACAGTTTTCTCAGTGCCGTATTTATTTTTAGATGCACAAAAAGACACCTATGTGTTTTATTATTTCATTAGTTACGTGAAACTGGTAAACTTTGAGAAGGTTGAAGAGGAATACCTCTTATTTCATGGTAATAGAAAATGGCAGTAAAAATTAACAAAAGTGTGAAACAGGTATGTTTAGATTTTTAATAAATTAATGTTGAGAACAAAAGAAAACTGATGTAAATTTCCATGGTTTTAGGTATACCATCCACTTTGTTATGAAGACTTCAAAAAGGTAATTGACTTTTCTCTTAAAAATGAACTTGGAAAGTTTTACTGTGTAACTAACATTTGTACTCACGAAACTTATACTCTTGACCAAAGCAAGTAGTAACCAAAAAGTAAATAAAATTTTTGATTACATTCTCAGTTAAGTACAATAGAGTCGAAAGGTTAAAACATTTAAGCTGTCATAAGAGTATGAGAGATATGTAGAATAAACTTTAATGATAACAGAGAATAGTGAAAATTAGACTTTTATTTTCATGACAGTTTATAAAAATATTATTGTATTATCTCTTAATTGTTTACGTGATGAGTATTTGAAGGATGAAAGTCACATTTAACTTTATTAGGGATGCAAGTGTAGAAGCTATCATATTTGCTCTTCTGTGGTTAAATGTCACAAAGAAAATATTTTAGACCCTTTCATTATTCATTATCCTAATTTCAGTAACCATTGTATTATTCAGATTAACTGTTTTGAAAATATTGCATATCATTGTCCTCTAAGTACTGTTAATACTATTGTTATGTAATGTTACAGCTAGGTCAGAATGATGTGGGTTATGCCTAGATGCCCCAGAGTCTTTATGCAAATGCCATTTTTCTGTTTTTGTGTATTAAGTGACATTGATCATAAAATTGTGTATCCACAAATAAATATTCTAGTAGTTTCGCAAAGTTTTTTCTTTGTGAGTAACTGTAAAATACAGGTTCATTGCCTTATAAGCCCAGATGCTTCACTCATATAATGTTAATGTACAGTAAAATGTAAAAAAAAAAGTTGTTTTGTTTAGTGTGATTATTATGTATATATTCAACAATTAACAAGTGATGACATAGTTTTTGGCTAATTTGGGTTGTTTGTTTCATTGCTTACTGGTATTTTCAAAGACATCTGAAGTTCCTGAAACACCAACTGAAAGTCAAGCACCCTGCCTATTAAAAAGTGAGGATTCTTCTGAAACAGAAGTGATTGTTAAAACAGAACCTGTAACTGTTGAAGAAGAGGAGCCAAAGATTACAGAAGATGTGAAAGTAAAGGAAGAACCTATAGACACAGAAGAGATAAATGCAGTCACAGAAGAAGAAGGTAATAAAGTAGTAAGTGATTCAAAGCCTAAGGAAGAAACAATTCCAGAAGAGGATGAAAAACCAAAAGAAGTGCTAGATCCAAATGATCCAGAAGCTAAGCTTGAGAGTATTATTGCTAGGGTGGAACAAGAACAAACAAGAGATATCCAGATGAAAGTTGAAGAAACAATTGTAGAAAGTGAGCAACCCAAACCTGAATCAAAAATGGTTGTGCTGCAATCAGGAAGCATTGTGGTGAAAGTGAAGGCAGAAAGTATAGCTCAACCATCTCCACCTCCAGTAAACAATGAAGCTACCGCAACAAAGTCGGAATCAGAAGAGCCTCAGTCGGATGACGAATTTCATCCACCACCACCCGATCCACGATTTACAGTCTTACCTCCAGTTCTTAGAGGCACCGAACTTTCGGGACTCTGTAGTATTATGTAGGAAGCCTTTATGCATATTATGAATGCTTCTTATGCAAGCAGATTCCTGAATGTCATCTGATCCATATACACCCCTACCCCCAAGTAATACATAACGTATAGGTTGTAATTCTTATCAGCTTGTACATCCAATTGAGACACTGAAATTGTATTTCTTACTTCATTGTGATATACTTTTATGAAAGATTGTAAGTATTGAATGAAATTATCGAAGCATTTGTAAAATAAAGCACTTACACGACAGCGTATAGAAAAATTGAGAAAGTATATTCAAAGAATTAAGAGTTTGTAACATAACATTTTGTAGGTATACAAAAGTGACTGTGTGCTCAAGAACACGAAGTATGTTTTACATGAGTTCTTGTAATTCCTCTTGTATTAGCTGTTAAAATTCAGCACGCATGATCAGATCAAGGTGTGGGTAGCATGTATTTAATTTACTTTCTAAGAACACACCATGTATTCTAAGTTGTTGCTAGGTTGTTCACGTGAAATGGGGTATGTAAGATCTGTAAATTGTTGTACAAAATGTTTTATGCTGTTGTAAAAGTTTACAAATAAAAAATTTATTTTTGTTTTCTCATGGTCTTGATTTATTTTTTCTTCTAAACTTCTTTGTCTGTAAACAGTTTTTTTATTCGGTGTTAAAAACTAGTGTTTTTTTTTCATACGGTCACTCGGAAATTACTGATGTTGTAGGTCAAAATAATTTTGCAGTAGAATGTATTGTGGAATCGTAATGAATAAAACGTACCCTAGTTCATAATCTTTCTGGTGTTTGTGTGAGTGTAAACACTTGAACTACAATAAGTGTTTGTATATTAGAAGAAAACTACCTAATAAAAGCTGTTTATCTCAAGTATGTGTCGATTCTTTTTTTTTTTTTTATAGATATTCGTAATGAATATACAATCGAAATATTACAAACCTAAATACTAAGTATACGTCACGTAACACTTCCAAAGTGGATATCGTTTCATCAAAATTCCCAATAGTTATTTCATAATATGTAATCAAAATTTTACTTATCTTCAATTTTACTGTGTTTTTTGTCTTCAGTTATATTGTAAACAAAGAAGAGCTTTCAAAATAAGATTATTCAAAAATTCCCAACATTTAAAAGGCCATGACGTTTTCTTATAAAACGATTTCCACATTTTCGATTGTTTTTACTCTAAATTAGAGAAAGATCGATTTTTGTTTGGTTTTTCACGGGACATAATATTTTTCTTTAATGTTATAATGTCTCAGTTTCGAGTATTTCGAAGAAATATGCACAATGCGATACTTTTCTATTATTTTTGCGTCAAAAAAGCAATTTTTCCATTTTTTTAAAAAAAATTCATATTTTTACCGAAAAGCCAAGGCTATAGCCCATGCTTTTTACCAAATCTAAAAAAAAATTGTTTTTCTCATATTTCAACACAAAGATGCCCTTGATGTAACACTTCCAAAATGGATATCGTTTCATCAAAATTCCCAATAGTTATTTCATAATATGTAATCAAAATTTCACTTCCATTTTACGGTTTTTTTTTGTATTCAGTTATATTCTAAACAAAGAACATCTTTAAAAATAAGATTATTCAAACAGAATCCCAACATTTAGAACGCAATGACGTTTTCATATAAAATGATTTCCACAGTTTCGACTGTTTTTACTCCAGATTAGAGAAAGTTCGATTTGTTGTTGTTGTTTTTACGGGACATAATATCTTTCATTTTCGTTATAATGTCTCAATTTTGAGTATTTCGACGAAATAAGCAATATACGATACTTTTCTATTATTTTTGCTTCAAAAAACACTTTTTTTCATTTTTAAAAAAAAATTCACATTTCTCACCGCAAAGTCAATGCTATAGCACAGGTTTTTTACCAAATTGTGAAAAAAAATTGTTTTTCCTTATATTTCAACACAAAGATGTCCTTGATGTAAGACTTCCAAAATGGATATCGTTTCATCAAAATTCCCAATAGTTATTTCATAATATGTAATCAAAATTTCGCTTATCTTCGATTTACTGTTTTTTTTTGTCTTCAATTATATTGCAAACGAAGAAGAGCTTTAAAAATGAGATTATTCAAACAGAATCCCAACATTTAGAAGGCCATGACGTCTTCTTATAAAATGATTTCCACATTTTCGATTGTTTTTACTCTAGATTAGAGAAAGTTTGATTTGTTTTTGCTTTTCACGGGATATAATATTTTTCGTTAAGGTTATAATGTCTCAGTTTCAGTATTTCGACATAAAAAGCGCAATCCAATACATTTTCTATTATTTTTGCGTGAAAAAAGCAATTTTTTTCATTCTTCAAAAAAATTCATATTTTCACTGAGAAGCCAAGACTATAGCCAATGTTTTTTACCCAATTGTGAAAAAATTGTTTTCCTCATATTTCAACACAAAGATGCCCTTGATGTAACACTTCCAAAATGAATATTGTTTCATCAAAATTCACAATAGTTATTCCATAATATGTAATCAAAATTTCGCTTATCTTCGATTTATCTATTTTTTTTGTCGTCAGTTATATTGTAAACAAAGAAGAGTTTTAAAAATAAGATTATTCAAATAAAATTATATTATTTAAAATGCCATGACGTCTTCCTATAAAATGATTTCCACATTTACGATTGTTTTTACTCTAGATTAGCGAAAATTCGATTTTTTATTTTGCTTTTCACGGGACATAATATTTTTCTTTAATGTTATAATGTCTCAATTTTGATTAATCCGACGAAATAAGCACAATCCAATATGTCTCTATTACTTTTGCATCAAAAAAGCACTTTTTTCCATTTTTCAAAAAAATTCGTATTTTCACCAAAAAGCCAAGGCTTCTTACCAAATTTTGAAAACAATTGTTTTACCTCATATTTCAACACAAAGATGCCCTTGATGTAACACTTCCAAAATGAATACCGTTTCATCAAAATTCACAATAGTTATTTCATAATATGTAATTAAAATTTCGCTATCTTCGATTTTTCTGTTTTTTTTTGTCGTCAGTTATAGTGTAAACAAACAAGAGCTTCAAAATAAGATTATTCAAACAAAACCCCATCACTTAAAAGCACAAGAAGTCTTCTTGTAAAATATTTCCACATTTACGATTGTTTTTACTCTAGATTAGCGAAAATTCGATTTTTTTATTTTGCTTTTCACGGGACATAATATTTTTCTTTAATGATATAATGTCTCAATTTTGATTAATCCGACGAAATAAGCACAATCCGATATGTCTCTATTACTTTTGCATCAAAAAAGCACTTTTTTTCCATTTTTCAAAAAAATTCATATTTTCACCAAAAACTAAAGGCTATAGCCCATGTTTTTTCCCAAATTTTGAAAAAAAATGTTTTTCTTCATATTTCAATACAAAGATGCCCTTGATGTAAGACTTTCAAAATAGAGATCC